AGTAGTTTTTATCCCTAAACCTAACCAAACCTTAACCATGGAGGTGGCAGGTCATATGAATCATTTTGCGACAGTCATGTTCACTTTGGAAGGCAGCTAACAATGTTGTCCTGCCAATGGGTGCACAGGATCAGGAAATTTGGGTCATTTTGTAAACCAATGACACTGACTTTTTTGTCATTTAATCTGGAGGACTTGTTGGCAGTGTCATTCAGGGGTGTGGCTGCATTTCGAGGTAATTGTCCCTGGGGTGTAAGAACTCTCCATGACATATGACTAAGGCTCACTGGGTTTCAGTTTTTAATCATATTTACTAAAGGAGCAGATCAGTTTAATGATTGTCACCTGGATTTCCCCACACACCCAAAAGTCATGTTGCTGCTGTAAGAGGACACTGATTACTCACTGAGTGCTCAGAAAATGCTTACAGTAAGAAAGTGTAGAAAATGGAGGGTCCAGACTTTTGCACCATTATTATGGCTTACAGTTTATTACTTTAAAGGTGCAGTATGTAACATTTAGGATATTCTATTGACAGAACTAAAATATAATATATAGAAGGTATTGTTTTCATTAGTGTTCAATCACCTGAATATAGCAATTGTTGTGTATTCGTTCCCTTAGAATTAACCTTGGGCGCCTTCCTTGGACTCCGCCATGTTGAACCACCATGTTTCATTAAAAGGAAGTTTTTCCTGGCTGCTGTAGCCAAGTGCTTGCTCATGGTGGGAACTGTTGGGTCTCTGTAAATAATGTTATAAGGAGTACGGTCTTGACCTGCTCTATTTAAATGAATTGAATGTTTTTACAGTACTACTAGACTTTCGAGTTTCGTGACCACTGTAGTTTCTCCTACACACTTCACAGTCCGTTTTCATTCCAAGGTTATCAGACATGAGTGGTGTTCAGTTAGTTGCAACTTCACCACTAGATGTCGCTAGTCCACTAGTCCTTTAAGCATCCATGTCCAGACTTTTGAAATATAATTTTTTTTAAATCACCCACTATGAAGAATTCAGAAGAATTTCTTAAAATAAATGGAAAATAATTCATCTCAATGTTAATGCTTGTTTTAAAAAAAATCTACTACTACTAATTTACAGACTGTAACAGACAGACGGCAGAGGTTGAAGAGCTTCAGTCAGCAGGGTCTGAAAGTGTAAAAAGTGTGGAGTGACAATGAGAGGGAAAGCAGTGAGAAGGAGTGGAGGAAGAATGAGATGGAGGGAGGTGGAAGTGGAGGACACAGAGAGGTGGGCTGGGCTGGGGGGCTCCTGGCATCCACCAGTTCAGAGGCCTGATTTGGATGTGGAGTCATGTTGGCTTGGCAGAGACCCACTTCATTAGTGTCCTGATGCATTAGAACTGAGGCGAGAGGGAGGAGGAGGAGGATGGAAGAAGGAGGGAGTATATTAGAATAGTAGAAGAGAAGGAAAAGACAGTAAAGGGAGAAAGAAGAGTGTGAGCACAGGGGAAAGAGGATGGCTAATTGAAAGATGAGAGAGTCTTTGGAGATAAACTTTGAAGGAGCCAACCAGTCCTGTGTGTTTGGCTCTGCTCTCTAACATCATCATTAGTGCATGAGGGAGACCAGGCCCTGCCACCAGTGCATGCGTGTGTGTGTGTGTGTGTGTGTGTGTGGCGATTGATCCAAGAGTCCTTGCTGTCAGCTCAAATAAGCGTACGAATGATGTAGGTATGTGAATGGGGGAGTGTGGGTGGGTAGGTTTCGCAATCCCCTCCATGATTTACCCTCAATTTAGTTATTAAGTGTCTCAGTCAGTTTGTGTGGGGGATGTTTGTGACTGTGTGGTCCTCATTAGGGCAGGGGTAGATATCTTTGTTTTGCTGTCTCTCACTCTCTTTGTCGTTGCTTTTCCAGTATTCTTACGGCCTTCTCTCAATATCTAAAACTGTCACTTTACGTGAAAGAAACAGAAGATTGGGGGAGGGAGAGAGAAAATGTCAAAAACAGGAAAAAACCTACTGAATTCCTGTAAATTGGTCATCCCCCCGAAAATAAAGCCCCCACGAATGAAATCGGAGCAATTTCATGGTCTGGCCTGCCCTCAATATTATTTAAGTAATACCCTGTTATTATTGAAGAGAGGGAGAGAAAAGCGAATGACTATTATCTTTATGTGGGTCCTTTAATTTTAATGCGCCACAGATTTATAGCTGGGCATTCCAGTGGGGAGGCCCCTCCCTGCTCTTAAAGCGAGCGGGCGGGACACGACCGCAACGCTCTCACAACAGCCACTACCTTCTTACAAACAGCCAAAGTCCCCACTTTCCGTCCCAACACTTCATCCTGCCCTCCTTGCTGCTGTCAAATAGCTCTCACACTGCACAGTCCTGACAGGATCCCTCTCTGTCAGTGAGAGCTCCACCTATCAGAATAACAAACATATATCTACACTCACCCTCATTGTCTCTATTTATAATCTCTATTTTTCCCATTCCAGCCCTTCACACATGTACTTTTTAAAATCCTGCTTATAAATCTTGCTGAAAGGCTGTCAAACACTGAGCTCCGTGTGCCAAACTGGATACAAATACAAAATTACTGAACAATCTGTGTTGATAAATCTGAAATTCATCCTTCTCCAGTAAATGTGCACTTTTATCAAATAGTTTACCAGCAGCAGTAAAAGTAAACTTATTTTTGCCCAGTTCTGTCAGGCAGTGTTCAGACTCTATATGACTCATTCCTTCTTTGCTGAAACCGATTGACCAATCAAACAGATAAAATGTAAAGACAAATTAATAACCAGGCAGCCAATCAGGAAGCTCCACTGTCAAGCATTTCAAAAATCAATAATATGTTGATGTAAGCCAATAAAACACAAAGAAAGAAGGGCTTTTGTTTAAACATATCATAGTAAGTCCATAATATTATTTGATTTAGCTACTGAATGTTTTGTTTTTCCCACCAAATTTCCATGTCATTATTTCTCTATGGTTATGTATTCCAGTATTATAAGTTAAATTTGATGTGTAGTAATAACACCTCTCAACTCTAAAAAACAGTGATGTGACCTAGCGGAATATGCCTCTATATCTATATTATATTGGTTGGCCATAGAATGTTATTATTTGCTTAACAATGACAAGTAGAGTTCCCCAAGAATTGATTCTTGAGCCTTTTCTGTTCAATTCCTACATGTTCCCAGTAGTAAGAATTTATTCCTCATAGCTATGCAGATGATACTCAAATTTATATTGTTGAACTGTCCCATAGAATCACTTAACAAACACACTGAGCAGATTAAATGTGCGTACATTGGCTACAGTTAAAAGATATAAAACAAAAGTAATTATTTGGATGTTTAAGGGGTTTTTGATCATTGTCAGATCTGCACTAGCTAGCAGGGTGACATATGAATGACATATGATTGATGTTGTATTACTTGTTACATTTCAAATTGCCCTTTTATTTTCTTCTTGAAAGGTGCATATACACATGAACTTGCCTTTTTTTATTTATGTGCACCCTAACTTCTGAAACTAAACCCACACTTGCGCAACATTATTCATTTAATAGATTTATAAAAGCAGTTTAATTTACTTGTTTGCATTTTTCCTCTCATCCACATTTAAAAAATAACCACAGCACTTGTTACAGACCTAAGTACTACTCCAAAATGATTACATTGCTTTGTCCTCTCTCCCCCTCTCTGTCCCTCTGTGGTTTTGAATAGGCTGGTTAAACAGTGATGAGGTGTCATAAGTTTGTAAATAAGAGACTTCCTGGCAGACAGGTGGTTGGCCTTTTACTAGAGCTAATCTTACACACATTAGGTCAAAGGTATACTGGACGCAGGACAGTATGAATGCCAGCCTTGGAGCTGGTTAATAGAGTGTGACACTCTGTGAGCTGTGAAACACTTGTTCTCACCCTCAGTTCACCTTGCAGCCCTGGCTACTGTGTACTAGTCGGGGGAGCAGGTCACTCGTTGTTTTATAAGATGTGTTGCATCATACAGGGTTATTGACAGTTTACATTTGGAACATAATATTTTATTTTTGATGTAAGATAAAGAAGTAATAGAGTATGATACATCTGTTTAAATTACACTGGATTTAAGTAAAATAAAGTACATAAATATAAACCCATCAGCCATAACATTATGAGCACTGACAGTTTAAGTGAATAACACTGATTATCTGGATATCATGGCTCCTGTCAGTGGGTGGGATATATCAGGCAGCAAGTGAACATTTTGTCCTCAAAGTTGATGTTAGAAGCAGGAAAAATGGGCAGCGTGAGGATTTAAGCGACTTTGACAAGGGCCACATTGTGATGGCTAGATTACTGGGTCAGAGCATCTCCAAACCTGCAGCTCTTGTGGGGTGTTCCCAGTCTGCAGAGGTCAGTACCTATCAAAAGTGCTCCAAGGAAGGAAAAGAACCGGAGACAGGGTCATGGGCGGCCAAGGCTAATTGATGCATGTGGGGAGTGAAGGCTGACCCGTGTGGTCCGATCCAACAGACGAGCTACTGTAGCTCAAACTGCTGAAACAGTTAATGCTGGTTCTGATAGAAAGGGGTCAGAACACACAGTGCAGAGCAGTTTGTTGGTATGGAGCTACAGAACATTATGACAACCAGGGTGCGCAGGTGCTCAGAATGTTATTGATCGATGTATAGTTATATATGTATTATTCCAAAATAAATTAAAGCTGCAGTAGGTAACTTTTATAAAATTAATTTGCTGAAACTTTCACTATATCCTGACTGTAGTACATGAGACAGATCATCATTTGTAAGAATCCACCAGTTGATTCTTGCAAATGCCATTAGGAGCACTAGGAGGACCAGATATTTTCACAGATTATCTGTCTCATGTATTACTGTCAGGATATAGTGAACGTTGACAAAAAGTAATTTTTGTACCTATTGCAGCTTTAGGTAACAGGTTGCCATTCATTTCATTATTGTACTTTGAATGAATTCCTGGCTGCAGTCTTGATCAGGGGTCACTGTGCCCCATTAATCAGCTCTTTTGTCTTTCTCGTCAGGCACTTCACAGGCCACCCCAGGCCCCGATGAAGGAGCACCGTCTGTCTCCAATGCGCGAAGAACCATTACCTCCCCCGGTGAACGAGGAGGGGTCGCAGAATGTGGGAGCAGGAAGTGCAGGCGGAGGTCCACCTGGCACTGTTGGCAGTGCTGGGAACAACAAGAAGCCACGATCACGCACTAAGGTACAGAACACGTTGTCTGTTCAGGACCCTCATCAGAACCGATTATTAAGCATTTTGGCATGTTGGTCTGTTGGTTCAAATTCACATTCTCTATCTATGTGTCCATCCTGAATCCTGGTTGTGTATCTAGATTTCCCTGGAAGCCTTGGGTATCCTACAGAGCTTCATTCAGGATGTTGGACTATACCCAGACCAGGAGGCCATCCACACCTTGTCAGCACAGCTTGACCTGCCCAAACACACCATCATCAAATTCTTCCAGAACCAACGCTACCACGTCAAGCACCATGGCCGCCTCAAGGATCTGGGTGAGGGGGCCGCCGCCAGTGGAGGTGTGGATGTCAGCGAGTACAGAGAAGAGGAGTTGCTTTCCGGCTCAGAGGACCCAGAGTCCAGCGAGGATGGGGCTGAGGAGATGTTCCAGTCCACAGAGGGGAGCGGTGTGAGCGCAGGGGGGCTGAACCAGCTTCCGGCCTCCTCCAACTCCAGCCAGTCGTCTTCAGGGTCCAATGTTGCTCAGGAGGACGGCAAGGACAAGGGGCATGGTCGGCCCTGTGGCCCACTGGGACCCGGGAGCTCTTCATCCAGTCCTAGAGAGCAGGCTGAGTACCAGAGGTAGAGACTGACACACAAAGAGAAGACAGAGAAAGAGGGAGAGGGAGAGAAAAAAAGACAAAGAAAAGGTCTATGATGATGAAGTGAGGAACTGGTCATGAATTCATGGAGGATGGCTTCATAGAAACTGCGTGAGAGGTGAAAGAAACCATTAGGCCGAGATACATCCCTGAAACGACCAGACACACTTTCTGTGAAAACCTGATTTGTGGTGTGAAATTACGACTAGGTACGACTATTGCTGCTCATGCCTCCAACCTCCAAACAGACACAAACACAAAACAAGAACAGAACCGTCTCTTAATCAGCCAATCGCCAGAAAAGGAGCACCGAGGAGGCGGGATTTTAGTGGCTTTGGCCGGAAATTGTTCTTGCTCATCCTTCTCTAAAGTCTGAGCACAGTCACATACGACATACTCCTTATACGCTGGGTTGATTTTGCCCCGCTGAGTGACATTGATAGACTGGATCAGGGGGGCCTTCCGAGACCTCTGCAATCCTATAAATCCTCAGGACACACACTGATGTTGCTAATGCTGTTGCCTGCCTGAGATCGTGGATCATCTACGAGCTTCATTTCATTGTGGGAAAAAAAGGAAATTACCACTCCATGTCCTGCCCCCGCCTCAACGTTGCACTCCCAGAATCACCACCGGCCCTACCTAGCACTTACTGTTCACAAAGACACTGATATTTTGTGGATGTGATGCACTCCCCCCCCCCCCCCGGCTCCTCTCAAGGCTCACAAAAAAGAATGACTCAAAAGAAGAGCAGTGGACAGTCTGGCAGGAGGACATCAAGAGGATGTGGCGTGGAGGGACACTCGGGGCCTGTGCGCCCACGGCTCTGAACCCTTCCTGGCACCACCCGGGTACGTGTGGCGAGAAAAAAAAGTGAAGAAAGGAAGGACAGAGCGGAGATTCAGCAACCAAACAATCAGTCACTTTATGTGCGGTAGTCCACCCTCTTCCTCTCCTCTCTCCATCTCACTCTCTCCCCCCTTTTCCTCTCTCTAATTGGTGCCCACAGTCTTGTGTTTCACCACACCTACCCGCACTTAAACTTCACCAACCCTATTTATTGCTATCTTTATCCATGATTATTATTATCATTATTGTTATTATTGTTGTTATTATGGTTAGAATTGCTGTCATCACGTGCTATTTTTAGTTTTTATTTCCATGGTTTTAAATATTGGTTTTCAGAACTGGGCGGTTGTTTGGGTAACAAGAGGCATTAAGAGTGCTCTGCCCTGAAAAAAAAAGAGGAAGAAAAGGAGCGGGGAGTGAAGGAAAATAAAAACGAAGCAGTTACTGAGTGTTATTGGGTAAAAAAAAGTCCTGTCATGTTGTATTATGCCATTTTTTTATAGTTGTGTTTCCCAAAAATAGTAGATAGGACTTGTTGAGAGGAGAAATAGCTAAATACGAAAGCGAAACTGTGCTGTTTTAATGCAGTTGATGACAATCTACTCTTTTGAGCCATTAAAGAAATGTGGCAGGTTTGACTCTTCACTTTTGATGTCTGTAAATACCCAACACGGGATAAATTGTTATTGATATACTTTTATTTCTTATTTTGCTGAGTGACTTTAAATGTTTGAGCCAGTTTGGGGTACCAGAAGAGTGCTGTTTTTTTTTCCCTCCGGACAACTCAGTGAAATCAGTTAATTTCATGGTGCCAGGCAAATTCAATCACAAGAGTATTTAAAGATAATGTTTTTTTGTTTGATGTCTGGTGCAGTTGTGTACAAGTATACAGTATGTTCAAAAGAATATCTGAGAATGGATACCATCTCTATCCTGATTGGCTGCTACACTCCAACAGATGACCTGCCTTCTAATTATTACGCCAATCATGCCACATGATAATATTGTGCTTTTCTGTATGACAGGAATCAGGGTTAGACTCAAATGCAGTTCCAATGAAATCTTAGTTCATCCAGCGTTGAAGTGAATTAAAATTTGTGAATTCAAACAATGACCTGTTTTTTATTTCTGTGGCATTATTACACTTTTTACAGATCCTCATGTACACAAAGACACACTAATTGTAGCTGGGTCAGGCCTTCCTCAGAGCCTGTCAATTAAAGGTCTGTGTAAAGCCACAGGGGCTGGGGTTTCTAACAAGTGCGTGGGGAGGGACAGTGAAACTCAGCCAGCGCTCTCTCTCCCTCATCCCGCAAGATTAGAGCCACTGGAAGCTTTACCTAGCAGACATCGAAAACAATGAGCCTGTCCAGAGAACGAGTCCCGCTGTCACTGGAATTCACCGTCTTCATTATTTTAAACAATATATGGAAACAGAATGTACATGTCCCTAATGAGCAGTGGAATTACATATATAAACACAGACTTCGGATAGATGTCTGTATATACAAAGCTAACTAATTCTGGTGTATTTTGGCCAATTATTTAAGGAATAAGAGACATGATATTGTATATTTCTATAACTGTCAGCAAATCCCCTGAAAAGGCCAAAACCAATCCTGCTTTAGTGCAGGGGTCTCAAACTTTAGTTGGTACTACAAGAAAATGCAATACTCTGAAAATATTTTCATTAATAACGTCACATTTAAAGGTCCAGTGTGTAACATTTTGGAGGATCTATTTTCAGAAATGGAACATAATATTCATAGGTATGTTTTCATTAGTGTATAACAGTGCCTGAGTAGAGGCATTTCTGAATTTTGTCCATTAGTACCCTTACTTCTTATTTAGTACCGGATCATGGCCGTACCCAATATTGAGGTATTTTTTCCAAGCTGTATGTGATGAAAGTCGCGTAATAGTTGCCTAAGAGTAATCTTACTTTGATACCTCAAACATAGTGTGATATAAGTATAACATGTGATGGAGAGGAGAGAGGAAGAGTATGTAATTACCACAGAGATGTTGTCTTTGGACCTTATAGGCTCAACTTAATAACAATCGAAATACCATCATAATTATAGTGTAATAATTAAGTAGCATTGTATAAATATGTTATTGTATAACACACATTTTGCTTACATTTACAGCTTGAGACACATTTGTATAATTCAAATCCAAAATGATTAAATTATTTTTATTTACACTGTTTCCTTAGCATTAAACGCGTAAAAATCTGCCCTGAAATATCCTTGTTAAAATAAAAATGATACAGACCACCACGGTTAGGGTTGTGTTGGGTTAGGGTACAGGCCCATTTTTTGGTCCAATTCAGGTACTGGTGTATAATCATCTGAATATAGGAAGCATTGCGAGATTCTTCCATAGAGTCTGCCATGTTGATCCGCCATGTTTCTACAGTAGCCCTGAAGGGACAAACCAATCACTGGCTTTAGATAGGCGCATTTCTGTTTTTTGCAAATTTTGTGGCCTTGTGTTAAGAAGGGGAGAGAAGGACAACAGATGAAGCCCTGAAAACAAGAAGAAATAAGTATATATATATAAAAAGAAGGTCTAAATAGCTGGTTATTGTATCTTAAAGTGTTTCTTAAATGGGAATAAACAGTGGGGACTATTTCCAGCTACAGATTTGGTGCAGTAGTGACCAGGACAACAATGGAGGTATATGAAGAAAAACATTGTTTTATAAAAAGTGTTAATCATTTTCTACAACAGCTACGCCCTGTTTTCAGCAGATTTGTTGCATTAAAATAGAAAGCAGGACAATGTGGGATTGATTTAAACTAAACTACAGACTGTGTGTTCATTGTAATTAAGGAACATGTCATGCAGTGCAACAGTGTGTCGCACCGACGTGTTTATAACAGTTTTGAACAACAGTGGAGCTCCATGCCACAGAGGAATAACAAATATCAGGCACTGGCTACACTGACACTACTAGTTAGTATTATTATTTTATTGTTAGTTTTGGTCCTTTCTGTGGATTTGCAGGCAGTAAGGAAAATATAAAATATCACCAGACTTGTCCTTAAAGGTTTAACATTGTTCAATGGAGCTATGGGTTCAAGCAGCTAACCTAAAACAACAGTTTAAACAATTAAGCAGATTCACTGCTTGGAAGAAACAACATAGTTGCACATTTTTTTTAACATAGGCTAAACATTAACTCAATTCAATTAAATTCAATTCAATTCAATTCAATTCAATTCAATTCAATTTTATTTGTATAGCGCCAATTCATAACAGAAGTTATCTCAGGACACTTTTCAAATAGAGCAGGTCTAGACCGAACTCTTTATAACATTATTTACACGCTCCACATCTTTGCCCCTTGTGTAAGGACTGCCAAGATGGGGACGGCCTGAGCCGATCACACTGAGCTTCACGAGTCTTCAGAAACATTTATTTTGTTAATCTATGCTTCAGACGTGTCTGTGGCTTATCTGTTTGAACTGCTGGATAACATTTTTTTTTCTTTTAATTGGTGACTTTAAAGGACAAGCGTGTGGTATTAAGTGGCATCTAGCTGTGCAGCTGCAGATTGCAACCCACTCACTACAGCCTCCTCTCCCAAACATGAAGGAGCCAGTGTTTGGTTTGTCCGCTCTGGGCTACTGTAGAAATAGGGCTGACTCCATGGAAGGCGACCTGCAGTATCTGCAGATATAAACAGCTTATTCTAAGGTAACAAAAACACAATGATTCTTATATTCAGGTGATTATACACTAATGAAATCCTCCTAAAGGTTTAAGAAACTATCTAGATACAACTGAATCAAATTCTAAACAGACAGCCCATGGACCAGTAACCCGTCAATCAGGAACCATGTGGCATCCCTAAAATCAACTAAAATCAAATAGCTCATCTGACAGGCTTACCTCAAGACTATCAGCTACACACACACACACACACACACACACACACACACACACACACACACACACACACACTTACTCCAATTACCTCTCTAAATAGTTTCAACTCTGATGAGGTGTGGCAGGGTAGAACAATCTTGGTGTTTAACCTGCCACTAGGGGTTGGGTCAAGCATTTTGTGTGTGTATGTGTGTGTATGTGTGTCAGTCTGTTGGACTCCTTCAGTCAACAATAGAGCCTAAGTGTTGGTGATGAGCCGGAGGGTCGAGGTCTTCCTGCAGAAGCGTTTTCCACTCAGCTTGTCTTCTCTGACTGAAGACAATCAGCTCACGCTGTGACTCTGCCACGGTGGGATAATTATACCTGCTCTCCCCAAACCTTGCCCTGAAATAGCCCCTGTCTGTACCCTGCTGTATTCTTCTGGAGGTGAGGACTGAGCTAACCAAGCTATAAGAAGACTTAAATAAAAAATGAACAGAATTTACTGGGGCTTCTTGAAAGGGAGCAGCTGTTCGAGTTCTCTTTAGCATCCGTTTCATTGGTGCAGTTGATATTTTCATTATCCAGCAAATAGAAACATGTCATCTATTTCTCCTTTTCAGCATGAATCATTCTTCTCTGAGAGTTTATGTTTAGCCGTCCAAGTTAACCTTGGAATGACTCGTTTCATGATGTTCAAAGGCTTCCAGACTATTTCAGAGCGCCTTGTCTTTTGAACAATGTTGTGCATTGTGTATAAACTTAAACAGGGCTTGGCTTGGGGGAGGAGGGGGGAGGGGCAGGCTGGGCCGAGTCAACTACGTGGCCACAGGAACCAAATATTGCTTCATTTGTACATGTATGCAATCAAAGAAAACCAGGAATGGAAAAAAAATACTTCCCAAGAGGCTGTCTTGGGTGGAATTTACTGGAAATTGCAGATGACAATGCAGCTTCCTATGTTTATACAGTAAAGAAATACACTTTTAAAAGCACTATTACCAAAGACGGGTGTTATGGATGTTCCACTAAATGAAAAAGTAAGCTTTGACAAGGCACTGCCTGGCCAACATGCAACAGTCAATCTGCTGAGCTTTCATTTAAATGGTCCAAACTAATCAGCCTCAAACTCAGTAAAGGAGAATATTATGCAAGATAAAGCTAATAAGTGGCCAACAACACACTCTGAATGGTAATGCCATTCAAACCTGCCAATTCTGCTGCAAGAGAACTGGACAGGAAATAGCATTACTAAGGAAATAAACTTCATTAAACTGACGCCTGGTCTCCTCAAAAGTGATAAACACTGAGCTGCACTTTTTCCTTTTAATGCTCCAAACTCATCAGTCAAAAACCCACCAACAAATATTATGCCAAATGAAAGAGGGTTTTAAAAGGGGAAACAACTTAATCTGAATGGAAATGCTATTCTCACCTGCATACAAAGTTATTTCTTCACACTGATGACATTTGTTCCAGTAATAATATTAGTGGGCCTGATTCTTTTCTCCCGACTCCATCTAATGACGGTTACTAAAATGCATATTACATCTATAAATGTGTTTGTGAGAGCATTACGGGGATGGTGTACAGTACGTGTGGAAGCAAATGTTTATCAAGATGAAGTGAACTGAATTTACTAGGAACGACAGTACTTATATAGAAACTAGAAAAAGTATGACTATTACAGAGAGTAGCACTGCAGCAATCATCTTAATGCAATTGCTGCAGCTCTATTTGCAACATAGAATGGTTTACAATCTTAAACTCAAAAATTATACCCGTACAGTCAAAATTTCAGTGTGTAGGATTTAGTGGCATCTACTAGTGTAGTTTAAGATTTCAACTCACTCACTGGTTTGTCATTTTTGGGCTACTGTAGAAACATGGCAGCCACCACGAAAGGTGACCCGCACATCTGTAGATAAAAATGGCTCATTGTGAGGTAAAAAAAAGATTCTTATATTCAGGTGATTGTACACTAATGAAAACATACCTATGAATATTATATTCCATTTCTGACAATAGATCCTCTTAAATGTTATATATAATAAAACATATAATAAACACATTGGACCCTTAGGAGTCATATACATGCCACCAGACAGGCAACAGAAGGTTGGTTTTTACCCACCAAATGCTTTGGAACCTAACATTTGTAGGATGCTATGCATATATCGGGATTTCTAGTTTGTGATGGGAACTATCTTAAGTTTTTATGCACTTATACAAAAG